AGAAGAGAAATTTTATTTATTCCTGCAGGAATAATTAAAATATGTGAAAGAACTTGTTTGCTAGGAATATTTTAAATATTCCTATAGGGATAAATCAATTTTAAGTTGAACTAGTTCATATTAAAATTTTATTTATTCGTAGGAATATTTTAAATTCTCCTACATTTCATTTATTCCTGCGACATATACATCTAAAGTTTTCTTTATATCACACTATGGTTTTCACACTAGCATGTTTGCCTAGTCTATGTTACTTTATTTTCTCTGTTTCTATTATGAATGTATTATAGAATTTATTCGCCTGTCTTTCTTGAAACGTTATGAAACACATATATAATATAGAGGAATCTCTATTTTGTGTTATTTATTCTCTACTTGTTATCACACTCTACTTCTGCAGTGTGCAAGTTGATGAATTGAGTATTGACACTTATATACACGTGACAAGGACTTTCGAGTCGAAACCGGTTGTGCTTTCGCGAGTGTCTCTTCTCTTAGTTGTTAACTTCGAGGAACATTCTTCGAGTGACGTGGTGACCTTATTCGATATCACCATCAATTCAATGTATTAGATATTGGTTTAAATTATTGGAATTATCATCAATGTATGAACATTATTAGACTTTTACATTGGAACTAATTAAAATACTAGCTCCCACCTCCACAAATCCGTAGGTCAGCAGCGTTTATCGCTTATATTGTCCAACCAGTTTATCGTTAACCACGCGACTTTAAATATCATTCGACAGAGAATTCCGCGGGGTAGAAAATGATATATTTAATATTGAGAGCAAATCGGGCTCGGGTGTCTTAACGCTAGAAATAGGTTTTGGCTTCGTGTATATCATTGTTTGGAGATGATATATTTGGTTGTTTTGATTTAAATTGTATGGAAAGATATATCTCATCGTTTTTACTTGCATTCTGTTGAACAGAGATATATGTCGTCGTTTTGATTTAAATTGTTTTGAATAGATATATGTCGTCCTTTTTACTTGCATTGTGTTGAGCAGAGATTTTTCGTGTTTTTCACTTGCATTGTGTAGAACAAAGATATTTTGTGGATTTTCAAAACAGAATATGTTCTCTCTCTCGTCTGTGTGAATATATATATAGATGTGTTTCGAATGCTTTTGGTTGTTGAAGTGGTTTGGAATAAAAGTGATTATAGTTAACAGAGATTTGCACAGTTTACTTGTATAATGGATCGTTGTTGTTCTTGCGGAGCTCGTTTATTTAGAGCGTCTAGTTTTCGACGATTAGCATCACCGGTATTTCGTATGTCTGTGTCGATACGTGTATTGAAAACGCTTCCCTCGCACGCGAAAGTTTGTAATAAATGTCGCCAGTCATATGCGTATTGGAAAAGATGTAATCCGGAATTTACAAATATTTTCGATCGGATCGAAGAAGAGTTTGTTGAAAATGCTGAATCAGAGGATGATGAGGTAAGTGACACAGTGATGATTATTTCCATGACGTCGTATACAGCAACCTGTTTTATTGCTGTTTTCAGGTAGAAGATATGGATACCAATGTTTGCTCTGTGGTAAGAAATTCATCAGACAAAGAATGTCAAACTATAGAACAGGCTGCTGCAGACAAACAATGTCAAACTATAGAACAGGACGATGGAGCGCCGAGTATTACGTTGCCGCTTAATTGTACAGTTTGCTCTCATAAGTAAGTAAATGGTCTGAACTAACTGACCGCAACAACATCATTTATTTTGAATATACTTTATTCCGTTGTTTCTAGAACGTGTTGTATTTGTCGGGCTCATATTGATGGTTCGTCAAAGACCGTAGCAGTTGAAGATCGAAATATGATTTTTCTAACGAAAAATGTTATGATACGTGAAGGTTCAAG